AAGGCTACAGCTAACCATGCTCTAACCAAATACAAGGCTACAGCACACTATGCTCTAACCAATCACAAGGCTACAGCTAACCATGCTGTAACCAATTACAAGGCTACAGCAAACCATGCTCTAACCAATTACAAGGCAAGAGCAAACCATGCTCTAACCAAACACAAGGCAAGAGCAAACCATGCTCTAACCAAACACAAGGCAAGAGCAAACCATGCTCTAACCAATTACAAGGCTACAGCTAACCATGCTCTAACCAATTACAAGGCTACAGCTAACCATGCTCTAACCAATTACAAGGCTACAGCTAACCATGCTCTGACCAAACACAAGGCAAGAGCAAACCATGTTCTAACCAATTACAAGGCTACAGCTAACCATGCTCTAACCAATTACAAGGCAAGAGCAAACCATGCTCTAACCAATCACAAGGCTACAGCTAACCATGCTCTAACCAATTACAAGGCTACAGCAAACCATGCTCTGACCAAACACAAGGCAAGAGCAAACCATGTTCTAACCAATTACAAGGCAAGAGCAAACCATGCTCTAACCAATTACAAGGCAAGAGCAAACCATGCTCTAACCAATCACAAGGCTACAGCTAACCATGCTCTAACCAATTACAAGGCTACAGCTAACCATGCTTTAACAAATTACAAGGCAAGAGCAAACCGCTCTAACCGATTACAAGGCTACAGCTAACCATGCTCTAACCAATTACAAGGCAAGAGCAAACCATGTTCTAACCAATTACAAGGCTACAGCTAACCATGCTCTAACCAATTACAAGGCAAGAGCAAACCATGCTCTAACAAATTTCAAGACAAGAGCAAACCATGCTCTAACCAATCACAAGGCTACAGCAAATGTTGGCTTGCACTTCTGACATGCAATGTCTTCATTGGTTTAGTTACAACAACCAGTTTCCTGACATTTTTTCTTTGATCATTTGTCTTCCATAATAGAAGAGCAGAGAAAATGGCTCATTAGACATCAGTTTGGAGTTACCACCTAGAGAGACGTTAAAGAGAATGAGGCATGACTTGCATACCATCCGTAAGTGCTTCAGTGGTAAGCAGCTTGTTGACTGGATCCTGATCAATTATTCCTTTCAAGGTAAGTGGAGGCAATCTGTCGTAATTAGTGCTCTAATCTGCTGTCAATTGCTTCCCATCAAACAAAGTGTTAACTTTTATGTAAAGATATCCTTGTTGTGTAGCTGTTAACACAACTTAGAGCTGAGAAAATACCATCAACATAGTGCCACTTCATGACACTTATGTTACTGCATCTAGAATAATAAAATGTCATTGTCATTATACATTCAACATGTTTCAATATGCAATATGTTATACAATTTCTGAATGTGTCATTTGCATATGAATAGACTAATTTGCATATTTATTTTTTCATTACTTCTATAGACTGTTCTGTGCAGGTTCATTATAATATAGAAGATTTATATATTTCACTTTTCAAACAAGGCTATGAAGTACCTATAAATCAGTATTTTAATGCAGCCAGAGTTCCCCTAGAATAAATTGCCTATGAATCCCTGTGAGTCGCCCTACTCTAGTTAAAAGCAGTTCATAGTCATTACGTCACTTTCAATTGTAGATGCTGGGAATCAGGAGACATGGCAGGTACCAATTTAAATAGAAGAAGCGTTCTTTAATTGTAATACTTAAAATCAATCTGTATTGTACTTTGCAGGAACTGCTAACATTGGATTTCCAGAGGAAAGACTAGAGATTGATGAAGCTCGACTTTTAGCTCAGAAACTGTTAGATCTTGGTGTGATACGCCAAGCTGTGGATGATATGAATACCTTTGTCTCTCCAAGTATGTTGATAGTTTGTGTGGTTTTTCAAGATTTTATGATACTTTGAATATTTTGGGGTTAATCTTTTTGACTCCCGTGTGCGAAGCACAAAAAGGGAGTCATTGCAGTTAGTGTGTCTGTCTGTCTGTCTGTCTGTCTGTCTGTCTGTCTGTCTGTCTGTCTGTCTGTCTGTCTGTCTGTCTGTCTGTCTGTCTGTCTGTCTGTCTGTCTGTCTGTCTGTCTGTCTGTCTGTCTGTGTATGTATGTGTGTGTGTATGTGTGTATGTGTGTCCAACTGTTCCACTGCTATCTCAAGAACCATACATCGGTTTTTGATGAAACTTGCTGCATAGATGCTCTGGGCCAATGCGCAGATTTGATTAGGTTTTGGTAAAAATCCATGCTCGTTAATTACCTAATTTGCATGATAATTAGCTAATTTTTAGCTGTTCTATGACTGTTCCACTGATATCTAAAGAACCACTCATTGGATTTTGATGAAACTTGGTACATAGATGCTTTGAACATATGCGCAGATTTGATCAGTTTTTGGTAAAAATCCATGCATATTAATTACCTAATTTGCATGATAATTAGCTGATTTTTAGCTGTTCCATGATTGTTCCACTGATATCTAAACAACCACTCATTGGATTTTGATGAAACTTTGTACATGCACGCTCTGAACTAATGCTAGGTTTTGATTAGTTTATGGTAATAA